TATCCATATAACTATCTAAATACATTAATCTAAAATACATTATTCGCAGACTAGTGTATTTGTTTTATGTATTAATTACCGCAGACATCCCATTGTTAAAACTATTAAAGGAGAAGATAGTCAAGATGTCGACTGTAATGTGATCGTCTGTAAATCACGCCATCATAAATTAATCCATCATGAACTGATCAGTTGGAATATGACGCGTCCTAGCAGTAATAACATGCGCTATGGAAGCTAGGTGTGAAGTCACAAGATTAAATTAGCCATGGATTTTGGCCGCACAACTGCAAACATATGCCCATTAGAACTACGATCAGCACGCGTGTGTGTTTTGTTACATATAGCAACCGATCTTCTTAATAGCTTTCTATTAATTAACCCATTGGTATGCCATGTCAAACTAACTACGAGGCTATTTGAACTAACGCCCTATGACCTGGCCACGAGATGTAGCGAGCAGCTAAGTATTGGTTCACGGTGATTATGTTAACAGCAATTCTTGTTACTGCCAAATTAAGTAAGTGTCCCATTTTACAAATGAGTAGGACATTTCCCTAAAATCTCCCATCTCTGTTACGAAGTGTATTGGTAAAAAATGATGCAAATCAATTAAATAATTTAACCGCAAATCAATTCGTAACGTTTTCGTGTTCGTGTGTTTGAAACGGCTTCTCGTCAGTTTTCATCGTTATTTATTCAAGCTGGAACGGTCACTTGTGTGCTTTCAGTCTTATTGGATTGATTGCATGACCAAATATGCCTATGAGGCTAATTTAATTCACGTTAGGGATCGATACGATCGACATAAAACGCATGTGTTGCAAATCAAGATCGCTTCTAACGCTTCAGAAGTCACATGGAGAGCCCGTCAAATGTTTGACGCGTATATTTGATCCAGGACGTAACAATCATTGATGGCGTTTATGGCACCAGATGTAAACCGCGTGACGGCGCCACCTGTAGTTAACACGACCACTTAGCCGCCCGGGCAGACGCCGCCCTGCGCTTGCTACGCAACGCTGCCTATTATGAGTAAAATGTAAGTTCATAATTATTGTCACTGAACGCCAGTCATCGGAACACGGACTCCAATATACCATTTGCTTTTGAGTTTATGGAATGCAATATACGTTAATAAGTAAATGTGTCGTGAGAAGAATACTAGGTGCAACCTGTATGTTGATTGTTGGTGTATTTATTTCCGTGCATGATTGTGTTAACTGAAGGTAACTAAATTTGTTTGATGATGTTGTGTGAAAGTGGTGTGTGAGGGTGTCAGAAAAGGAAGAAAACGAGTTATGATATTGCAGGAGAGTTTGTGGAAAAGTTTGTGGGAAGCTCTGTTACCAATGGAATGTACGTAGAGCTAGGTGGTAATGTTAAAATGGGGGGAAAGGTGGGCAGGGTTAGAGAATGGGCCGGATCAAGTACCTCATGATCTTAAGTAATGCTATCCCGGAAACGTAAGCCTATGCACACCCTAAACATAGTCCCACACACCACATACCGCGTACGCCTAACCCTAACTCTAGACAACTCCTTACCACCTCTACCGTCGTTCTCAGAAGACATATACACTAAGCAACGGCGTTAACGTCGCATTCTGTACAGCTTCATGTCAGCTTCTACCTCAGTTTCATCGCATAAATAAATATAGGCATAGCTACTCAGACGAGTATGCGGTAGAGGATATTAGTACAAAATCTATCGTCTCGTATTCGTAATCAGAAAGCTCGGGTGGGACTCACACGATCTGATGCTCCCAGAGAGACAGAATACATGGCTCACGACTAACCAAATGACTATAACAAACACCACCATAGAATTGTACATTGTTTCAACCGCCCCGTTATATTATATAATAAGAAACACAGTTGATGTCGTACATAAATATTTAGTACAGTCTATCTAGGATAACAAACTTTGCAGCATTGCTTACATACGCACGCACATATGGCTAATCGAAAATTCTTGTGTGTCTTATCTTCATAGAAATAGCAGTGCCCGTGCATTTATGAGACGAATTCAGTCTCTGTTAGTGATAACGTTCGATCTGTTTGCACATGCCTGGCTCATAGTATCTGGATATTCGATACTAGAACGTCCTAGGGCGTTATAGGGATGTGTGTTGATGGTGTTCCACCTGGTAGCTCGCATGTGCCTTCTGCTTTCCGGGGATGCAAATTTATGCATTTCAGTTGCAGCATTGTTGGTGTTAAGAAGGTGCGACCACAACCCTACATCCGTAGTATATGGCTTGTTCTGTGGCTAGACTTGCAACAACCATCCTGAGCGGGGTGCAAGAGAAGATTGCTCTCAGATGATACGTTTGGAAGAGGGATGGTCGTTATGACACATATAAGAGATCCAACGTGAAATGAAAGTGAGGAAACAAATCCCTCTTTCCTTACCGCCGGATGGATAAATGGTGGATGGATGGGGTTTTTATGCTAAATCTCGTTTTTGCGAAATCGTTGGACGCTAAACGTTTGAGTTGGTTTAAGTTCCATCTCGACCAAGACCGAGCGGAGAGACACAAAATAGGCGGGACGCTTGTAAACCTTGATAGAAAAAAGCTCTAGAACCCACGAGCAACAGTAAGATAAGAAAGCTTTGGCGATATACCGTAAGAAAGGCACCAAGCACCAAACGCGATAAATCGCATCACCGCATGTTCGACCAGACAACACCAGCTTTCCAATTCATTCTCCCTATCTACAATACTATCATTCCCGATCTTCATCCTATCCACGCAACTCCAAACATCCTCTGCGTCACTGTGTACATAGTCTCCAGATTTTTTAACCCGTGAAAACGCAGATGGTACAGCACAGGGCGAATATGCAGCTATTATCTTTATTACAGATGATAAAGATGGACGTAAGGTCACTGTTAGAATGGAATCATGTGTTTATGAAGTGTATAGTACAAATGCGTAAATTCCACTTCGTGATAATAATTTCTAGATTCGTAGATCGTGCGCGGACATAGGTCTTGGTACACAACTACCCTATGCTGCAGTACAAGGAGAGCGTGCGGTATATATCGGCAGCTTACCGTCTAAATTCTACCTATACAACACGGGTGTCATCATAATCCTACCGATGCGACACGCACATCACTTATATTCTTCCTATACGCATCAGCCGCCATTTTGCATGGCCGAATAAAAACGCGGGAGTGGGGGACAGTTATCCAGCACCGTGCATGACCGCTGTGCAGCATTCGCCTGCCAGTTTCGTCTGGACATGATGGATCGGCTGCATATTTAGCGAAAATGGACGCCTGCGAGAGTTTGTTTGGCTTCTGCAAAGCGCTATACTAAAGTGTAATTTGAACGTGTATCCATCACCGTAAACAAGGCACGCGCCATTTTTCACGCACCCGGGTATATGATAATTGGAACATTATTTCGTCTAGGGCTGGATAAAGAATTACCTGTTTACTCCCACCGGCAGCAGAGTCTGGCAGCCCCGGGATTCTAGCTGAGCTTAACAAAAGAAACAGTAGTCAGATTGTCCGAAAACAATTTTAATAGTCGCATTTTGTCACCAGTTCAAAAATACAACAAATTCGCGTGCGTGCAGTAAATTTCGCGAAAGCAATAACACCTAGTATGGCTATATCTATCAAGCTTTCTCTGTCCCCGATCTTGCCTCCTCTACCCTATCCGCTACCCCTATCTCTTTTTCTCTCTCTCTCTCTCACTCTCTCTCTCTCTCTCTCTCTCTCTTTCTCTCTCTCTCTTTCTCTCTCTCTGATTCTTCTCTCTCTTTCTCCCCCTTCTCTATCTTCTTTCTTCAGTTCACTTTTCTACTGCTTTTTAGTGATAATGAATTATTAATTATAATTATCCCGTCGCAATTATGTTCCCAAGACACTAACACACAACGCTTTCCCTGCAGTATCGTGGCTTTACTAGCCCTTTCAACAAACCGTTTAAATAAACAATGTGAAACGCGAGCTAATAAAACGTTTAAGCGATTTTTTTTCGGAACTTACAGACTACAGACCAGCCAGGCCATTACCGTATAGTACGAAAAGTAGTCGATGTTATTAACGGACTAGTCTCTCACGTGTCATGTTACTGCAGCCGGTGCAGAGCGTACTGATGGCTATTCTGACGGCCGGAATAGCGAGTGAAATTCATGGCTGTGTTCGCACTGCATGTACGCAATTCGTGTCCACTGCGATTGGTATGCGGGCCAGGAGCAGCATAGACGACGCTCTCATTATCATTTCACCTTGGGCCTTTCGCACTCAAACGAAGTTAGCGGTGGCCGCAAATCTCTATCGTTTATCAAGCTGAGACGGAGGATATTTCCGATGGGATGCGGCAAATGAGACGGACATCGTGCCGTTAGCGCACCGCTCGTCCGAATGGCTAATATCTATTGACAATTACGGGAATTTTATTACGTGAAACTATGTGGCCCAGCGGACCGGCTGAGCGGCTAGGCGCTGCGTGGCAGAAATAATAGCGCTATTACGGGAAATGATATTAGCAGCTATTTCATTCGCATTATTAGTACAGTCTATTACACGCGCGATTCCCGCATCCTGATTCCGACAGCATATAGGAGTCCTGTCGCTGCAGGCATTTTTTGATCATGACGGAGAAGCCATATGGGCCTGCGTGCAGCGAAGCACGGGGTCGCACTGGTGGTTAAGACATCAGACCGTTGGCCATTAGGAGGCTGTCGTTGATCTTAGTCATATTTCCTAATTACGTAGGTGCATTATTGCCCCGTGTAGCATGTACACATCACCCCGAGGCAAACGTACCCTATCTACATTGCGCATGTGCGTGTCTAGCAGGGCGAGTGGCGCAGTGCGCATGCGCATGGGGATTTAACCTTTATTGCTCATGCGAAATGTAGAAGGGGGATGTTTACTGTGGGCATACCATGCTAACCCCCGCCACGATGTTAATAAAGTCATCTATTTTGTTAACGCACTATTTCTGAAACAAAAGCGAACGGCAAATGGACACTCACCTGAATCAAAATATATCTGGCTGATTATTTACTTCTCCGTAACACGACTTCTCAACTAGTGCTGCTCCTCGTCGCAATAGCGTATACTCGGTTCAGGCGCAGTTAGAAACCGGTCCATCCCACACGTGTAACAGCGATACAGGCAGGTGTTAAGTTTTAAACACGGCGATAGTGGCTGTAGAGAATGTTCTCCTCTAATTGGTGATCGTTTTCTCGGTTTCATCGACGGTAGAAATCAAGATGAAGAGCAAGCATCACTTCTATCAAACACCAGTCCTAAAACATGCGTACAGATCGTCTAAATGTTCAAATAAACAATGTTTTAACACACAGACGCACACACACACTCACACGCACACGCACACGCACACGCACACGCACACGCACACGCACACGCACACGCTCACGCACACGCAAATGTACACGCACACGCACACACGCACCCTCCCGCGCACACAAATATGCGATTCACGCCTACCTCAACACAGATCTTAATGCTTTCTTACCTGAGGTAGATGCTATGGTAGGTACTAAACATTAGCATGGTATAACAAAGTCTGTCTGTACATTCTGTCAAACCTGCTGCTTGATTATGGTGCTACCGCGCGAATACGTCGATTAAACCGCAGTAGCAGGAACAATATGTTTACGTTCTAACGGAATTATTTATATATATATATTTACTAATTTAAACTTAAAAAAACACATTACCCCTAAGTTCTTATGCAGCATACTTACTCTATGCTGTAAACTAACGTTAAAATTACTTACTGTAAACTTACTATAGGCTAATACAGGCCTGTTCCATAATCCTGCATATATACAATTCCTTAGAGTAAATGTTGTTGTTTTAAATGCACATTGTTTGTTTGACTGTTTAGAAATTGTATATATTGTATACATTTTGTTCCTATGAAAATATATGTATAATATATATATATATATATATATATATATATATATATATATATAATAGGCATCACGTTTTAGAGCCTAAGTGGATTGGAAACCGATATCTATTGGTACTATAGGTTTTTACGGTGTGGCCATCTTAAAATCCAAGATGGCCGCCATAGTGTGAGCCGACTCGTGCAAAACATTGTATGCCATATATTCTAACGCACACATGAATAATATTTGATAGTAAATTCAATAGACTGTGTTTTGCTTGGTTCTTGGGTGATATACGTAAACTTTTAAGTGGAAATAATCATTTTTTTGCCGCCATTTTGTAAAATGGCCACCAAGATCATCGTAGGACAAACCTGCGATGCCCCTATAGCCAAAAATCACTCCAAGGACATGTTCTAACTGTGTGCCAAATTTCATGCTTTTATCCAAAAAAGCACAATTCTGCCAATATATTGCACATATCTGCTGGACTAATATATATATTACGGGATTCTTTGTCTCACTGGTTTCGTTGAACTGCACCACGGGTGCTGCGTGGTGTTGAGTCTAGCATAGGTTTCGTCACGTGTGCAACGTAATTCTAAGTTAAACGTAGGTTTCATCGCATGCGTTTCGCAGTGCTAGATTTGTGAGATGATATTCAACACGTGACCTGGGACTATTAGTAGGTAATGCGCGTTTGAGATGTATTGATCATTCTTTCGGCACCAAACGCCGGTGGTTGTACGGGTTCCTGCCTAATTCATTAGCATTATTCATGTTTATGCCTATATTTGGTTTCAACGCTTAATTTACGGGACGCTGTGTAACCACTGGTTGTAGCTGACCGCGAGTGGATACCATGTATATATATATATATATATATAGTATATATATAAAGTAATATTATATATTATGTATATAATATGTTAACTTCCGTGCGTGATAACAATACTCAATCGCTCTTTTGATATCTCCAAATTTATTACTCAACACGTGCGTAGCTGCACACGTGCAGGTAAAACTGTAAATACAAAATAATGTACACTAAATATTACGTCGCTCATGTCATGTAATGTTTACGATATCCAACGTTAATATAACAAAGATTCAAATTATAAGAAATTAGACGAGAACCAAGAGAAAACACTTACAATGTATGGTGCATCGTGGAAGAAATGCGCGAGCGCACGCGAACGTATAAATACAGCTCAAGCAGCAAAGGGCCCGCGCCACGCACAACAGACGCTTTTATACCGCGACAAGGAAACCCGCGAGTCACATGACTAAAACATAATGTAAACGAGCCGAACCGCAGCCAAGCTGAATAGCTTAAATACCGCGCAAAACAAGAACCGAACAGTGCTAGAAATACGACAGTATATGACACACTCAACAGAAATGATGAGAAGAAATAACAATATATATATATGTGTGTATATGTATATGTATATGTACAACCAGTGGTTGCACAGCGTCCCGTAAATTAAGCGTTGAAATCAAATATTAAATATATAAAATACGTGTACGTGTGCAAAATTTTGTTACGTGAGAGTACAACATGGTTTTGCTGCATAATTAATTGCGATTGTACGTTCCGCCGTCTACACATGACAAGATTGAATTCTAAATAAATCGATTACAAAACGCAATTCGACAACACTAGAATGTAATAATTGGATTTGTTGATATAAATAAGAAATGATAACGCAATCAATGTAATGTGGTTAACAAGAATGGTACGGTTGGTTTATATCCAATCAATTAATTATACATCTAGTTTCATGATTGTTTTTTCAATTTGCGACTATATGCTATATGGTTTGAAATATGAAATCACAATGCACACGTGCATGCCGTCGTCAATTCAATCCTAGCGTTATTCATGAGAATGTTTGCAATTACGTTAGACCATAATGAGTTTAAAAAAACAACATGTTTTTATGAATCTATGGCAAGCAAGAAGTGTTGTCATATTTGTTTACCATTTGTGTGTATGGTTTGCGACACATGAGTGTAAATGCAAGCCAGCGAACAAAGAAACCATAATTAATACTTAAATATCGAATAAGATTGGATATATTTAACCATTCCCTTCATTGTGCCCTTGTTAATCAACACAATTTTAAATAGACGCAAACGCCCTCGCTGGGCGTACACGACTGACATTCACGCGTAATATTCAAAAACAAGAGCTTACACACTCTCAAATGCCAAAAAGATCTTGACTAGTACATACGCCACCTGGTGGCCTTTACATCTGTCTAGCCATGTGTAGAACGCGGTGGAACAAGGTATGCATGCGGTGGTAATTATCTTGTTATATATGATATGCTCGATAGACTAATTCACAGCGGGCGTGAGGGACGTACACTTTACTCCCTCTATTTGACAGTTCGCTTGTAATACCGAAGAGAAACGCCCACAAGTCACCCAGCAGTGTTTCTGTCTATTCCCTATTATCTACTCCTGATGTAAATACATCAGACCAGGAGTAAATAATAGATACGGTGTCTATAATTTACTTCTGATACACACACGCATGCGCGTGCTTGAAGATATATGTGTCGGTATGGGGGCGTGTGCGTGTGCGTGTACCTGCGTGCGCGCGTGTATCTTGTGTGCGTGTGTGTATTTAATGTGCGCATATGGCTCATCATACGTCGCACGATATTTTCTATATTCGCTAACCTCTATGACTTTGAAACGGCATCTAGCGATCTACTAGCTGTATTCGAGCCGGCAATGCACACATAGAGCGCTGATCAATATAACATTACAGCTATTTGGCAAATTACCGAATGAAAGCAACTGTGGCTAAACAGAATACAATCAACGTGTAATTATTACAGGTTAGGCGGCGCATGGCTGCATGCGCGCGTATATCTCCGCCATACGTCTGATCTGCAATTACACACGTATAGCGCCCTAATTACGAATCCCGCCGCGATGCTACAGATGGAAGCTGTGTGTTCTATTCCAGCGAGCAGTCAGCTGCTGCTGCTGTTGCTGCTGTGGTCTCCCCGCGTTGTCACACACGCACGAGAGCGTTTTGCCGCCTCTCATCGCTAATTCACTGAGCTGGCAAGGCAGAGTTTGTACGTGCGTGCACGAGTGCGTGACTGCGTGCATGCGTGCGTGCGTGCGTGCGTGCGTGCGTGTCTTCGTTCGTGCGCGCGCATACACGTGTCTGTAATTTATGGCGTGCGTGCGTGCGCTATTGCGTTACGCGCGTCGCTGCACATATGCACGAATGCGTGTGTATGTATGTTTTAAACTAAGCCCAAATCGGAATAAAGCCATAATAATTCTCATATGGCGCATTTTCTCTCGTTTCTTGTAATTTACTAACTAATAACATAGACCAATCATATTAACATATTCTTTGACTCTACAGTATAGGCACCCTAAGATTTAAACAGATAGCTGTATGACGAAACCTGCCACAGACAATAATGGTCAGCTAGGCCACTAGAAATACGCTACACTGCACTACGTAAAAGAAGATTGTAATTGTTTATATTTTACATCCACATCTTATGTAATGATTATAACACAAAAGGCAGGTATCAAATATTGCGAGCGCAAAATAATTAATTTTTTAGAGCAACGTGTTTTTATTATATCAAGAGCGTATAAAGAAGGTCTTCTTAATACGCTCTTGATTATACGTATTACAACACGTAAAAATGTCCTGCATAGATAAGAACGGCTTGATGGTAGAGGAGTGCACAAGCATAAACGCAAGCGCGCACCTACACCCTAGTAAGAGCATGAGTGCATGCGCCAGTGCGTGTGGTTGTTAACATATATTATGCACGCACACGCGTGTATGTGTGTATGGCTGAGTGATACGTGCGAAGCCAGAATGTTCCTACTATTTAGGACAAGATGCTGGCTCCGTGAAAGTGAGTTAACTACCTTCTTGTTTTATGTTGATGAATGTTTTGCCCACTGATATTACTTTTACGGTGTTTGTGTTCACCGAGCATTCCATTTATTTTACGTCGACGAATCCGTCTTCCTAATGTAATGACTTGCGCGATAGCTGTCCCATATTGCATGCGCAGAAAAGAAGAAACCTTTCATGGAGAAATATTTGCAGTTCCCCTGAATGTGTATTTGTCATCTTTACTGCATGAATTTGCTTTGCCAAGTCCTGCCCTAGAGCGCAGCGACGGGCGGAAATTTCAATTCCCCTGATGGAAATCTGCACGCCTTTATGCATAAACGTCCGGCGCAGCGGCGCAATTTGTGCCTACTAAAATGCCGGTGCGAAATTGTATTTATATTTGAGACTTGGCGGGAGCGTGTGCTCCTGAATCAGTCAGCGCGCCTAACAACTGAACGGATAGCCATCTCCCCTACCCCTTCCCGACTAGGCTCAGCACACGCACGTCCGTCACTGCGCGCTCTCTCTCTCTCTCTCGCTCTCTCTCTCTCTCTCTCTCTCTCTCTCTCTCTCTCTCTCTCTCTCTCTCTCTCTCTC